GTTTGGGACACAGTTCTTCACAGGCCGATGTTTGCCTTGTTTTGGGAACTGAGATACACTTATCTTATGCCATTGGAAATAATCTACTGTTTACACCAAGTAGGGACATGAAGAAAGATTCTGGAGTGTTGCAATGCGGTTTCATCAACTCATATAAATAATGTTGAGGGAGGTGGCAGAGAGTTTGTAAAAGCATAGAAAGATTCACTGATGTAGCATAAAACCCTGGCTTGATCTTAAAGTGCTGTTCTGCGTTGTATCGTTTTTAGCAAGCATCAGTGTTTCTCCTACTTATGGTTAAGTATTACATTTGCATGTAATCTATCTGGCGGTGTGTGTGAATGATGAATGATACATCAGACTGTGCAGGGAAGTGAGCTATTATTTTCCTGAGCGCTTTGTTGGATAATAAAACAAGTGGAAAAATCTAGTGGTCAACCAGTTTGGGATTTTTAGGGGCCAATAACCTATTTTTTGCAACATTGTAAATACGTGCCTCTACATGCATTTTTGCAAAGCTCTGAAAATGTATCTAGAAAACAATTCAGTCACCAGCTGAAATGAACACTAGTGGCAGTAAAACACAACTTTTATTCCTTTTCACACAAATTATTATTACAGCGGCTGATTATCAATTAATAAAGACTTATTTTCACGCGGGTCGTCGCGCAATGCTATGTTGTAACCTCAAAACACTTTAAAAGTTGATGTCTGTAGGATTTTTATGTTAAAATACATCGCCATTCATGGGTTTATCTCCCCCAAAAGTATAAATACTGAGCCGCTCAGATCCTTCAATCTCTTTCCAGCCAAAGAAAAAAGTCAAATATCGGCCAGTTGATCAGGCCAAAATATCGTTCTATCACTAAAACAACACTCATAGACTAAAGGAGGGAGCATCTTAAACTAGCCTAATATAGTTTAGTTTGCCGGTTTTAGGCTTTTAATCTGGGGTATGTTTCCCAAAAGCATTGTTAGCCGTAGTTGCAAGGTCCTTTGTTACTAACATAGTCCAACGATCCGGCGTTTCCTGAAACTAGCAAACACATTGAAGCAATAAAGTTGGTAACACTTTACAATAAGATTCATTAGTTAACGTTAGTTAATGTATTAACCAACATGAAATAACAATGAGCAATACTTTTGTTACAGTATTTATTAATCTTAGTTTGTTAATTTTGTTAATAAAAATACAGCTGTTCATTGTTTGTTCATGTTAGTTCACAGTGCATTGACTAATGTTAACAAAAACAACCGTTGATTTTAATACCGTATTAGTAAATGTTGAAATGAATATTTACTAAGATTAATAAATGATGTAGAAGTATTGTTCATTCTTAGTTCATGTTAACTAAGGTAGTGAACTAATGTTAACTAATGAACCTTATTGTAAAGTGTTACCATACAGTTTTTAAAAATCAGACAAAAAGACAAAGGTATATACTGTACATCATATAATGATGGGAAGAACTACAGTCCTACGAAGCATTGTGAACAGCATAATCAAAATTAAAAAAGATGAAGAAATATAAATATAAAACTTCTCATTTACATATATATAGGGTAGAGCGATCGACCCGAACAAGCACTTTTAAATTACAATAACATGAGATTTCAACTACAGTCAGTAGATTGACATTACCTAATGGCTCATTTGCCATTTCCTCATTGATATACATCTTTTCACAAGTTTTTTTATTTCGATTTATGTTTAGACATTAAAAAATAATTATTATAAATTGATGCTTTTGCAATTATGACACATTATTACAGTCAAACCTGAACATAGGGTTATAAATGGGTTTTATGCATGTTATATGTGTGTATTTGCATTTGTTGTCCATCGTGTATGTTGTGGTGTCACTCCATTTCTGTGTGTGTTCTGCATTGTAGCATTGAAAAATTATGCAACAGAGAGCAACGTAATCCACAGGGCTTCGTGGAAGTGGGCGGAGCTAAAGAGATATTTTGTCGAGTGTTGCTTTTTTCCGACTCTCTGATTGGTGTAATTTTCCGACTCTATTTAATGTTGAAATAATGCAGGCTGACGGCTTCAGCAGAAGCAAATACCATGGATTTTCAACCTCGTAGCTCACAATATGTCTTTTTTTACAGTCTTTAAAGATTTATAAGTTATTGTTCAAAATCAGTGTCCCTATGGAAAATGACTGTTGCACTGTATAAGCAAACTAACATTCTACAGTACATTGTGTATCTTTCATTCCATTTAAATATATGTGCATTTCAATCTATATGTATTTACCATATCAACAATCAGTGTTTTGTTTTTTAAGAGTGCGCACGTGAGTAATTGTATAAGAGAAGCCCGGAGTATAAAGTAAGAGGGAACCCGCAATGAATCTAACATCAAATAAAGAAAACCACATGTAACAAAAATAGTGAAGCAAGTCACCTCAGATACGTGAAGAATACATTGTGAAGGAAGCTGCTGAATAAATGAAACCCATGTATACTGGAGTCAAGTGTATGCCAGTTACATGCATGTAAACATGATTTAAAAATAAAAAAAGAACTATAATTATCTGACATTAATTGTGATCTTGAATGAATTAAGTTCCAGAAGGTATTACTCGATCACATGACGTCGACAAACCTATTTTGAACCAATGTGGTTCAAACGATGGATGTGCGACTATATTACTACAGTTTCAGAAAACAGTCACAACAAGCTAGTACATTTTTACAACGATACAACGGGCTAAAAACCTAATAGGAACCACATACTGTAGCAGCACCCGAGCATTGACATACACACTCTCTTACACACCCTGATGTCCAGCCTAATTCAAATCTTGCGTCATCCCAATGAACTTGTTTGAACAAACACAATTGCATGCCATTTGTTATCCTTAACCTGGATGAGTCAGAAAATTGATTTGATACTGATGTCAGCATGCCATATATAGCACATTTAACTATCATAGTGGCTATTGAGAGAGAGAGAGATGGTGGTGGGGTGTGGAGAAGTGTGATCACTCCCAGTCCTGAAGGCATAAAACATCCCAGCCCAGTAATATTTCCAGTAAATGGAAATGTCTCCAATTTGCCGCTACAGCGAAAACCGCACCACAGTCACCCGTCCCTGCGCTGATAATGATGTTGGGTTGAACACACATCTCTCTCTGTAGGCAATAATGTCAGATGGTGTTTAAATAACTTTGCATATCCATGTGCTGGCAATATTGCGGCTGTGTGGAAATAACGTTGGTTAGGTTGGTTTCGGTCAGCAGCTACTTCATGATTATTCTGTCTGTTAAATTATATTCATCATTCTCCATCGCACAACTGAAAATGTGCAGATGTAGGAGCTTTGTTGGTGTAACGTATTGTAGTCAGGTTCATTTTCTAACTCTAGTAATGTATCCCCTCATTGCCCTTTAAAGTAAAAATGATTCTATATGCAAGTATTGGACTACATTTGTCTCTATACGGCCACTTAAACAGCGCTTATGAGTCATTGTTCAAGCCTTATTTACATAAATGAAGACTTGAGGAACAAAGGGAACCATTTCACACAAGGAAAATGCTGCTATCTTTACAGCAAGCGAACAGTGGGATATGTAATTTATGCAAATGAGGGACACAGATAAAGCCTTCTTTTGTCTAACATCATCTATCTAATGGCTAAATTTATCCACACAGCTAATACTAGGTTTTGAGACAATAGTTTTTGGAATATATATTTTTTTTTCAGCAAATGTTGTTAGGAAGCACAGACCTCCTGCTAGTGAAACATGTGGATTAGTGGAGATGCTCAAATCTTATCCAGGGATATTCATGATATGATTAGGATTGGGTCTCATTAACTGTAGATTTGTGTGTACAGACATATTTAAAACCTGTGTGTGAACGTTTCCACAAGGAAATTGATCTATCAATACGTTTGCAAATAAACAAATTGTAAAATTAGGTTAAGGTGTAGAACCAAACCCGACACAAATGCAAAAATCATTTGTGGTGGCATTAGAGACATGGAATGTGTTAAGAAAAAATGTGTATCAATACTGTATGTATAATTTATAACTAAGAGACCCTAAAATAAGTTCTATTTCAGAGTCATGAAAAACAAATGCATTATAGCTGTGATAGGCGCTGCATAAAAACAGCTGATAACGTAGTCTAGGCCTCTGTAAAAGGTGTTTTTTTGTGTTTCAGCTGGTTTTGAGAGTGGCTTTACAGAAATATCTTGCTATGCATGCTCTCAGGGCAAGAGCACATCTTTAGAGGGAAACACATTTGCAGAGAGTGATGAATCGCTGTACAGAAGATGCTTTGTGCATGTATTATGCTAATTACTAACTGTGGGCATGACCTCCTTAATTTCAAATGAATTTAGATTCATTCACGTTCGAACGAGTGTAAGAATACATGTACGCGCGTGCACCCCTGTATTTAGCATTAAAACTTTTTTGTGCACATAAGCACTCAACACTCAACCAGACCAAATTCTATGTCTAGCACATACATTCTTAGTAAGTAGGAGTCTAACCTATATCTGTAGACATTACCCTAATAGGACCCTGTGGGAAATCATAAACTTTCTATATTAAATCAAATCAGTCTCTTTTGAAATGCAAAATGGGCAACTGAACAAGGGTAAAGAGTATCGGCTATAAATTACAAAACTCCAACAATTTTCATAGAGATAATTCACCCAGAGAACACATTTTTCATACACTAATATTTGGAACTCCCTTCATAGTTGTAATTGGTTTGAACCATCAAAGAGTATTTTAATAAGAGTTCATTAATTAGACAGAGATGGTCTTGTTACATTATGTGCCCTTGTCTCCCAGTTGAGCTGAAAATTAGTTCATTTTGGCTGAAAAAAAAAGCTAGCGTGAGGCTTTTGAAGAAATCTTTTGAAGAAATTTGTAGAAAAATATGCCTTTAATTGTCTTTTTTTTTTTTGCACCTGATTTGTGAAACACGTTGAGTTCAATAAAAACTTTCCATTCTTTCTCCATTCTTTTTTTCAGCAAGGACTTAGGAGAAAGATTGAAGCACAGTCTCCTGGATATACACCCAAGCAGAATGGCCTCTCCTGTGGAGCGTCAGGATCCGACTTCAAGCGCCTTCGCATGGAGCCCAGCTCTTTTCGACCTGGATCCTGTGCTTTAGCTTCAGGGCAGACTCAAAGATTGGTTGGGGATGCCACCCAGGGTAACATCCTTCGAAGAAAGGACACCTTCATGATGCCTCATGGAGTTGGCAGTGATTTATTCAACATAACTCTAAGGGATATAAAGAAGGAACCGATTGAGGTTCAGACCTGTGGCCAGTCGTCCACAGATCATGCCCCATTGATGTTTGACTTCAAAGATGAAGTAAGCGAACAGATTGACCCAGAGCTCCAGGACTTGTTCGATGAGCTCACCAAGAACGTGCCATCACTCAACGATCTAGAGCTAGAGAAGATGCTAAAGCAAGATGACTTTGGTCTGGATCTGGGCCGACCCAGTTCAGCTGGTGCAGCTCCTCCATGTATTCACCTGGACAAGCCAATCAAGACAGAGTACTTACCAGATTTTAGCCAGACAGCTGGAGGCTCTCAACAACTAAGACCAGCCTCTGCTGGACCTTCGTTTTCTATGGCCAATGCAACTTTATCCACCTCAACCATCACTTCAGGGCACCATGGACAGGTACCTACTGGGGGTCCATCTCGAGGTCTTCCAACATGGCCTGAGATGTCACATGCTGAACAGTTGAAGCAAATGGCTGCTAACCAACAGCAGCCCAGCCCTATGCTTCACAACCACCAGCAGAGTCAAGCAGGAGGGGTTAGGAACTGGTCTTCCGCATTAGGTGTTCACCAAACTCCTGGCTCTTTCAATCAGGAGACTCTTCCTGGCAATGCTTCCCTTTCTCAGCAGAGACTTAACGCTCAAAGTGCGGGTCAGGCCAAAGGCATGTCCAACTGTTTTCTCAAGCCCAATGGATTCAACCCTTCCCATCACATCGACACAAAGGTTCTCAGCAGTAAGCCCCTGTTGCATTTCAGCCCTAAAGCACCACCTTCCACCACGGGCAAACAAATGCCCATCATGGCTGTTCCACCTAACAAAACAACCATACAACAGCAGCCGTCTACTGCAGGCCAGGGCATGCACTTTCAGAACTGCCAGCTGCCCATGCAGTCATCTCCCTGCTTACAAACTAAGCCTTTAATTCAAAGGCCTCAACTCAATCCGCATGGTGCTGGAATCGGTTTCAAAATGGCACAGCAGAGACAGGTAAGAGCGTGTGTTGGTCCTTTTAATGATTGTTGCTTGTTTGACTGTACAGTAAATGCTCCCACTGACATCTTGTGTAAAAGTCAGAACACACTGGGTCACATTCACTAACTGTCAGAGTGACGATTCTCATTTTCTCAATGCTTCGATTACAAACCCATGCACTGCACTCTTTGTTGCCTTTTACTGGATCGCGCTCAATCTCTGTTCCTTCTGTAGGTTTCATTGACACTTTTTCTGAGCAGCTTTCTGAGAACCTTGTTTGCTCTTTCATCAGGACAGTGATTAACTATAAACATTAGCAGATGACAGCTCTCTCACACTAACACTGTAGTTTCGAGTTGAATACACACAAACAGTCACAATGATACAATTTAATGTAAATATAAATATATATAGACCCCAGACAGCAACATAATGTCGGCCCAGATCTGGCCCACATCTGGTACACGTGGAATCGTGGGCCGGATCTGGGCCGACACTGTGTTGCTGTCTGGGGGTCTATATACATATTTATATTTACATTACATTTAATCATTGTGACTTACAAATAAGGAGAGCAATATAAGCAAAGCAAGTTTAAAAAAAATAGATATAGAATAGTAAGTGTTAGTATTAATAGCGTGTTGCTGAAAAAGATGCATCTTCAGCAGTTTCTTGAAAATGGCTAAAGACTCAGCAGCTCTGGTAGAGGTGGGCAGGTCATTCCATGTCAGGGTAAAGGTCTGAGAACGTGATTTTGTGTCTCTTTGGGATGGCACCACAAATATATATACTCACCTATGTTCCTCGGTAGTTTTCTGCATCTCTCGGCCACCTGACTCCTCACTTTTGGCTGGTTCCTATCCCAGCCAGGGATACCCAGTACTCTAAGTTTGGGCCAAAATTCCGAGCTTGTCCCTCCCCTCGGACAGCACACCAAATACGCATACTTTTTTGTACCAAAGATTCAATCTTGCTGTGCATGCTGTCAGGCAAAAGCACATCTTCAGAGATCGTCATATTGTTCAGAAGTTCCACGCAATATTTAGTGAATGAGACCCACCGTTCAACATCAACTATCTTTGTGTTGGACTGCGTGATACGTCAAGACTTTAGTCAAATAATTATCTTTGCTACATTTTCTATTTAAACACTCTTATCACATTTTCGCTGTGCAGAGCAGGTTGTTCTTGACACAATAGAGTCGTTGTGTCAAAACCACACACCCTGCTTTCTTTCCATCTGTCAGCCTGTTGTGTTAGCCGATAGCAGTCTGCCAACTGCTTTAAACTCAATGGATTTGCACTATGCTGTAGGCCTGTTTTTCATTTAGTTTGATTGTTGTTGGTGTCTAGGCGGGTGTAGGGTGCCTTGAATTTGTATATCCCCTCAAAGCAGTTTGATGGTAGCCTGACTTTCTAGAGCATGGTGGATTAACATGCGAAACTTCTAATTTCTCCGCCTGTCACAGTCACTTGCCGTCAGGGCATAGATGCGCGCAGCGGGATTTGCTAATTGGAGGTTGTTAGCTGCAAGGGACAAGTTGTGGAAAATGACAGTAATCTGCTTAGCCCAGTGCCGGAGGTTGAGGCACTGATTTGTTATGATTGGGGAGCTCTAGAACATCCCCCCATTTCAGTTTCAAATAAACAGTGTCTCTCGACTTTTTTTGTGGGAAATGATAACGGGAACCACACAAGAGGAGTCATCTTTACCCATTCCAAAAGCACATCAGATGGAGGGGAGTGTGGAGAGACATGCTTGATTTTGACACAAATATTTTGTTCACTCACATGAACATACAGCTCTTTTTGCAGCCATTGCTGGGAGAGTTGTTTAGGCTCTTTAAGAGCTTTTTCAGTGGACCTTGTCTTGTGTACTGTACCTAATGCACGGATCCAAAACAATGATACCATTTTCTTTCTCAAGTGTTTTACGTTCACGTAAGCCATATGTCACTGTGTTTACGAGGACAATTGCAGAGATGAGTATTTTAACATTATTTTGTGTGTATGTGTTCGTTCAAGCACAAATAGAGGCTGAAAAGTGTGGAACTCGGTGTTGGTGTTAGCGTACAGAAAACAGCGAATTTCAAATTTTCACAAAATGTTTACACTGACAGGACCTAAACCGTGCAAATGATAAACTTTCACTCTGATGATAAAAGTTTGCAATTAATCCGAGGATCACGTGATTTTCAAACGGTGGTGTCTGGTCTGTACAGATCAAACACGATCCCTATAGGTTACTTGACATTGCACATCCTGCGATGCTGATGCTAAAACGATTTATCGCCACTCCAGATTAGCTAAACTGACAGCTATCATTAGGAGTAAATATCCCCTTGTTAAAAAGAAGTGCACTTAATAGTGTTGAATGAACACTTGTAGTGTACTTCAAATCTTAAAAACATATTTTTAAATAAAAATAATAATATAATATTAAATATGATATAATATTTATGAAATATAATACCACTTACATGTACTTAAAGGGAGTACATTTTAATAGCTTTTTCTTAACTTTTAAGTACACTTTTTTATAATGTAAAATTAATGTTTTATTTTAAAGAACATTTTAAATCATTGTTTAAATCTTCTGCTGTGCTTTAAAGAAGTTAACTTGCATCCTAAAGCTATTGATTAATACTTCTAACTGTGGCATTGATATTCGATATTACAGTTTGTTATTATATTTTAAATGTACTATTGTAACTTCATTATTACAAATGTTTACTAATTACAAATATACAGTATTTAAATATATAACATACTAGTTTCAGTAGAAATGGCATTAAAGTATGATGTTAATGCTTTAGTAAATGTTTGTGCTTGCAGTACACTTTATCTATATTTAAAAGACAGCAGAAGTAATTATGAAAATACATAAAGATGTACAGGTGAAACTAAAAAAATTAGAATATCGTGCAAAAGTTCATTTAAAAGGTGAAACTAATACATTATATAGACTCATTACATGCAAAGTGAGATATTTCAAGCCTTTATTTGTTATAATTTTGATGATTATGGCTTATAGCTATGAAAACCTTTTCACAATATTCTAAATTTGAATTTGGGGTCCCCTCCCCCCCCCCTCCCATACAAAAATGTGTGTATTTTGTTTTGGCTTAGGGTTTTGTGTTTTGTTTTAGGGTTTTGTTTTATTTTGTGTTAGGGTTTTGTGTTGTGTTTTGTTTTAGGGTTATGTGTTTTGGTTTGGTTTAGGGTTTTGTATCATTTTGTGTTAGGGTTTTGTGTTGGTTTAGGGTTTCTTGTTTTGGTTTAGGGTTTCGTGTTTTGTTTTGGTTTAGGGTTTTGTGTTTTGTTTTGGTTTAGGGTTTCTTGTTTTGGTTTAGGGTTTCTTGTTTTGGTTTAGGGTTTCTTGTTTTGGTTTAGGGTTTCGTGTTTTGTTTTGGTTTAGGGTTTTGTTTTGGTTTAGGGTTTTGGTTTAGGGTTTCTTGTTTTGGTTTAGGGTTTCGTGTTTTGTTTTGGTTTAGGGTTTTGTGTTTTGTTTTAGGGTTTTGTGTTTTGGTTTAGGGTTTTGTGTTTTGTTTTAGGGTTTTGAGTTTTGTGTTTTGGTTTGGTTTAGGGTTTTGTTTTAGGGTTTTGTGTTTTGCCAGATGTGGGCCGGATCTGGGACGACACTGTCTGGGAACTGATATTTATATGGATTTTATGTAAATAGCCTGCTATACTGTTATAAAGATCTCATTGATTTGCATTGATTGCATTGATTTTAAGCCATCCAAATTTAATTTGACTTTCTGGCCATATAAATATTAGCAACTGCACCAAATTTATACAATTTATACTTCTCAAGTATGAGCTCCATATTCTCACTGTATCATACTATATAAAAGCTTCATGAATCAAATATACTCAACAAAAAAAAAATTCCAAAGATTATTCACACAAGCAGTATGATATAGTATAGAATATATTTCGTTAAGGTCAATGAAGTTTTGAGCCTCAGGTTTGTGTTTTCTCACACTCTAAAGTGCTGCTCAGAGCTTGACTGAAGCTCTTCATTAATGCAACATAAATGTGAGTGGGAATGCGTTGGTTTAGCGTGGGGGTTGGGGTAGAGTGCCAGGTTGTTGTAGCCGAACTCCGAGAGGAGCGCATGTTTCCTGGGAAAACGATCTGGGGCCAAGTCCAGATGCCGAGCTGGTCCCTAGGGAGGGCGTCCTGCCTCCAGTCGGCAGGAAGTGCTGTGAGAGAGCCCGGGCCTGGAGTCCTGTCAACTGCTTGTAATGCTGGTGGAATGGGAGCCTAAATCACATCTCTCCTTTATGGAGTCCGCGGACACATGTGGTATTCATTTAACGATGCACTGGTGAAGAACGAGGAGGGAAAGAGAGATGGAAAACAGCTTTATGACACATCAGGATCACAAAGAGTGGATTACAGAGACGGCCACACTAACGAGGCTTTAGCTCCCCCACATAACAAAGGGTTTGACTGAGGCAGTCGATTTCAGGCAAATGTGAACACAATCTGGCTTTGTGGTCACAACTTATGAGAATGGTCTGAATTTCTCACGGTATCGACTAGAGGAGGGAGTTCAGATGTAATGAATAGACCTGAACAGAAGTGAATAACCCCTTTTTCTGTGTTTTGGACATAGTCGTCACCATCAGAGCATTTTACAACAATATGACCTGAACTTTAACCATGTTAGCATGTGTGGAATGTGACGACGAGAGGCTTTACGTTATTCAAATACGTGGCTTTTTCTCTCTCTCTCTCTTTCTTTATTAGCTTTAGCAAGCATGCTAATGGGTTGATAACGTGATGCTATTTTACACTTTAAAAATTATTTTTTTTAAAGTTGTAATAAAACTGATAATTGAAGTATAAAATACCATTTCAGTTTTTCTACTTCAAAACTTTAGGATTAATTCAATGTTACATGCCTATCTTTGGAATTGTTTGTGAAATTTACTTGTGAAAATGGTTTCTACACCTACTTTTTTTAGTGCATCTATAAATGTTCAAACTAAATAAATATGCAATTCATACATACAATGACTTAAGTAGGTCTACCTCTTCTGTGATGACCATGTTAATTTCTGGATTAAAATACATTGATCATTTTTGGGGGGGCATAGATTAAAAAAATGTCAGGCTGGTGCAACTGTCTGATCATAATGAAGAAAAAAAGGCCTCATCAATTATAAAATTATTGGAAAGAGAAACGAATTAATTGCTTGTGATTTGTCATTATTATTTATCGTTTCACTGTTTATTTGAAAAACTTGTCTGCCAAATGTGGTGCGACCAACAAACATGCAGGGAAAACACATTAAACAGGAAATGATATATCATAGATAGGACCCCTACCTATGTTTTAAGTCTCTTAAAATATCATATAATTTGATATTTCTTTTAGAAAAAGAAAAAGTCATATATTTTATGAAAAAGTTAGTTTAGACAGTAAAATGTCATGTGGCATGACTCACGAAAAAATATATATAATAAATTGTTTTTTAATATATATTTTTATTCATTGATGGTTACACCTCCTAACAATTTGAGCAAGTAAATTTTAACTTTTTTTTTTTTTTAAATGATATAATATTTTCATAAACCTATTATACCAACCAGTGTTATTTTTGTGTCATTAAGATACTATTATTGTTACGATCATTTTCAATTATGTCTTGTTTAGTTTTAGTCTTAGGGGTGGTTTACACTACACCGTTTTCAACTAAAAATTGAAAACTTTTTATGCGTTTTTTTGCTGTTTGTTTACACGACAACGGCGTTTTGGGTCCCTGAAAACAGGTTTCAAAGTGCAAGTTTTTGAAAACGGTCTCCATGTAAACAACAAAAACGTGAATCTCTGAAGACGATGATGTCATGCACATGCGTATTACGTGTTCGGTCTATAGCGTTTCATCGCCATCTAGTGGCCTGGCAGCAGAATTGAGCGTTTTTAGTCGTTTTAGCGGATCTGTGTGAATAGGGATCGTTTTGCGATGTTGTCGTCTGTACACGGAAAACTCAAAGGAAAAACTTCTCCGGTTTAAGCATATCGTTGTCGTGTAAACGTACTCTTAGTTTTCATTGGCGTTGTCATTTATTAGTTACTATGGTTTCTGAATAGTCCTCACCTGTTCCCTGTTCCGTTAATGATTATCCTCTGTGTATTTAAGATTTTGTTCTTCGTTTCTCATTAATGTTGCTTGTTTGTTGTGTTGTATAAATGTTGTTGGTGTTTATTTAAAGTCTTGTTTATCATCATTCTGCGTCACGCATCATCTCGGTGGATATCGCTACACAGCCTACACTTGTCAATTATAGTTTTTATAATTTTATTTTTTAATATGAAAGTTTTTAGTCGTCAGTTCAGTAAAAACTGAGTATTTTTTTTAAAAATACGTCTATGTTATTTTGTAGTAATTTGTAAATGTACATGATAATATTAGATTTAGATGCGTATCTCACTCAGTACCAGTTGTCCAATATAATTTTTTTAAGCAATCTGACCTAGAAAAAAAAAAAACCTTCTTAGAAAACCTTAGCAACTACGTAACACCTTGGCCACATTTGTAGTCGCATTATTGTCCTCTTCCGAAGTTTTCCTTTTTAGAGTAATTTTCTCAGGAAGAGATACATCTTTGCATTGTGAAAGGAGCTTATCACAGCTCCGGACTGAACTCACTCGCCCTCTCATTAATTATCAGACATCCCAGAGCTGATCCATCAGGGAATGTGGCATTTATGAGATCCACTTAGAAACCATGTATCTCTAGAAAGTGTTCTCTCTGAATAATTTCTGTCGCACACTCTCATATTCTTCCGTCTCTGTGGTCTACTGTGGAATTCCTCCCATGACAGAAGAGATCTTTTAGTGTTTTCATTTCTGGACCTCTTGAGTGAGGCTTTAGAGCAGGGGTCTCAAACTCGCGGCCCGCGGGCCATTTGCGGCCCGCGGGGTGATATTTTGTGGCCCCCTACTTGACATTAAAGTTTAATGTTAGTGCGGCCCGTCGTTGCGTGTGCCGCGTAAAAAAAAAAAAAAAAAAAAAATGTATCCCTTATGAGCTACCATAGATAGTCTCGTGACAGCTTACGGAGGGTTTGTTGTCAATAGTTGTCATAGACAACCGCGAAGTACAAACATACTGGGCCTGGAAAAAATGAGCGCGTCGCTTCAATTATGAGCGCGCTTGCCGCGCGCCTACATTTGAAATTACGAACTTGAGCGCGCAAAATATGTGAGCGCGATATGTGAACGGCCCCTTGGCGAGCTGCCACCAATCAGGCCACGAGCTACTGGTAGCTCGCGAGCGACGTGTTGAAGAGAGACACTGCTCTAAAACAATGTGAGAATAATCACTTTGAGCTTGTAATATGTGTCCAACAGGTTGATAAGAAGGTTTGCTTTGTAGTATAGTATAGTAATTTGAGACACTATACAAAGAATTCAATAAGACGGGCAGACATGACTGCAAATATTTGTATTTCAAAAGCAATAATTGTTTTTCTAAGTATAATAAAAGGAAATGTGCCTTCCAAAAAAAACATTCAATATCATTAATGTGTTGTATAAAGAAAATAAAAAGGACATAAGCAAATATAAATATCACAAATATGTGTTATAGACAAAGAAAGTTTGTAAAATGAACTTCCACTGTCAGAAGGACAGCTCATGAAGAACCAATCATGTACAGAAAGGAATGTTCAAATTCAGAGGAACAGTTCAGAAGAAACGTTAATAAATATTGAGAAGATTGGATCAGTTGTGCTCCTTTTTTGGAATACTTGAATACTATTTTTTTGTGGAATACTTGATGCGGCCCAGCCTGACCCAGACTCTACCTCCAGCGGCCCCCAGTTAATTTGAGTTTGAGACCCCTGCTTTAGAGGGAGTTTCTCTCTTAAAGACATCTGTTCTCAAATTAATAGCCTCGCGTAACGCAGTGGGGTTTCAGTAAAATCCTTTCTGCCCTGGGAAATGTTTCGTGTCAACACTGTGATTGACACTGTATACACAGTGTGTTTGGCCGTCCGGGCTGACGTTCTCAAACAGAGTTTGCTGAGGACAGAAGCCTTCAGCCTCTGCTGTTTTGTAGATGCTCCGGCGAGATCTGGGCGCTTACAAAGTTTCTCAGGTTCAGGGTTGTTTATAAGTACTTCAATTTACTGAAGCTATTAGACACAAAATTGTTACTTTTTAACTTTTGGTTTTCAGTGCAATGGTCTTTTTCCTTGACATTCGTTATAATGTATGACACTGTGTAATAGTTTGGAGTTCCTTCCTAGAAAGCCCATATCGGACCCAGCGACAGATACTTTCTCTCAAATTCTGTCAGGATTTTACACTCATGCATGTAATTCCAAACCTGTATGCCTTTCTTCCATAGAACACAAAATGAGATATTTAGTGGAATGTTCAAGCTGCTCTTTTCCATACATAATGGAACGTGATTTCATTTAATGGCCAGTGACCAAAAAAAAGCACCATAAAAGTAATACATTCTCTATATTCCATTTATAACATATTTGAATGTGAGTATAAATGTGATTTTGATGTCAGATTTTAAGCTAAAATGACTCTGTAAAGACTCTGTACTTCACACAAAGCTACGGTATGAGACATGGGAAAATATAGCACACTAGTGGACTGCTGTGACACTTTTATGGTCCTTTTTGGACTTGAACTAAACATCTCCTTTGGTCTACTATGGAACAAATAAAGTTATACAGGTTTGGAATTTACATTAATGCATTATACATTGAATCCAAAGCAACCTACTTAGGATTTAAGGTATAGATTGTATCAGCTCGTGCATTCCTTGGGAATCGAACACATGACCTTGTGGCTAGTGCTACTGTTTCAGAACTCTTGGGAACTGAGTTTTTGGCAACCGATAACAGAGTTTATTTTTATGGTAGCTAATCTATATTTGATAACTATATAATCTTTTTTAAAGATATCAATGAACTTTAAAAAACTACTTACTCTTTCCCCGCCAGCGTTTTATAAAATTAATTAAATTGGACCTATATGCTGTTGAATGTTAGGTGATCACGTTAGCTTACTTGTGCGTAAGCAACTTCTATCTGGGATATATTTTAGGGAGTACTTTGTTATTAACCTTGTAATAACCTTGTTATTTAGTACATACAAACAGTATTACTTAACACTACATTGAAACCGATAGCAGTGTCTGTTTTTATAATTGATTACAATAGTGCTCTGCTCTCGTCCAAGTTTAGTTTTTCACGGCTAAAGTACCAGCGCTCAACCATTTAATCAGTGCTTTGAAAGAGAAACTAACATGAAATATCACAGCCTCGGTATAAGTGCATTTCAGCGAAGTGCAAAAAACGGGATAAGTGGGCCTATGAGATTATCTGTTATTGCGTGCCTCTGCCCTGTGGCTGAATAAATCTGTCCTTTGCTGGCAGCAATTGGGTTGCGCCCCATAGGATCATTCTCATAAGAGTGCAGCAGGGCTTGAGCAAGACTATCAGTTAAATAGTAAACCTGTGCTACTGTCTGTGTGCAAAAAAAGTCTCACTAACCGCTAGCCCAGAGAGCCTCATTGACCAGGGTATCTGACAAAATTCCAGTGATTTCAAAGCTAAAACTGCTGTTTACATGTTTAAACAACAGTCTGTTACACCGTGCTTTCTAAATGTAAGAGCAAGCATTTATTTACAGTCCATGTGTGACTGCAGACATATTAAAACGACAGGATGTTTTGAGAATTTCGGACTAATTTGCCCTCCCTTTGGTACCATTATGTCCCCATTATGGATATAGTCATGGACGTGTTTTCTCCAAGTGATAGAACAGTGTGGGAAAGGCTATGGAAAATCCCTATCACCACACACACAGGAAGTCACATGTGAACAGTGACTGTGTAACATCAGACTCACCGTAAACAAAGCTCTCCCTCTAGTGGACTAATCGTTCAATCACAGTTGGATGTGGCCAGTTTGATGTGCAGTTTAGATAACACATTTTGTATTTGTAGGGAATATCACCAGGACCTCGTGTACCAGCGAATGGGCGTCCTGCAGATATAACAGGCCAGGCTCAACAGCAGAGGCCACCAGTTCTCAGCTCTCAACAGAAGAACCCAGGCCAAGACCAGAACATTCAACGACAACTGGGCCAACCGCAACACAACATCGCTGATACAGTGAGTGCTAAAGTTTGGAAATGTCTTTTATACCTAAATACGTATGACTATTCGGTTTTCTAAATGTTTACTGATTGGTATTTTGAGAAATAATGCTTTTTTGAACTAGGTGTTCGTCAATACATTATTGCTAGTTACGGGTATACACAACAGCCCTTGTAAAACTTTCCTGTGTGACAACTAGCCCCAGTCTCCCCTACATTTGTGATCCTATGAATGACCACTGACTATTTGGTCCGTTGTAATCTATGGAGTTTTTATTCCTAAACTTCTAAATAATGTCGTTTTTCTGTGAATTTTTCAGGAGAAACTGAGCGCGCAGGATCAGTTCAGTCGTCATCTAACACGACCTCCACCAGACTACAAACACCCACGCAATGGAGTTGGAGCTCAACAGCCTGGCTTATACTCAGGTGTGCTTATACCTTCAGACTGTGTCTGTGTATCTATTAGCAGTAGCAAGTCTAACAAAAGCTAACAGTTCACCAAGACCAAATACATTAACATTGTCATATTCAATAGCATGCTAAAACCATTCCGAAAGTTGTCATGATTAAACTGCATTTAAAGTAAATGCAAAAAATGATACTCTTGCTATAATGCCGATGATACAATAGGATTAATTAAACAAAATGGATTAATTGATTAAGCAACCACACCAAACCTTAATTCAGGTATTAGACATTTACAGTATGATATTGCTTGGTAAATCAGTATTTTAAACCACCAATATTTTGTTTATACATATACAACAGGCAATGGCTCAGACCAAAATGACATCCAACCTTTATCACGCCACCTGCCCAGTGGACAGGGTACTAAGATGGTGCCCTCCTCAGGGGAGAGAAGATTTCCGCTTGGACAAGACCCCAATTCAGGACCCACAGGTGCTCAAGCTTGTGCAAACCAGCTACGGCAGCAACCCAGCGGCCTGATCCGAATGGTGCATCAGCAAAACAAGCCTCAGTTCCATGGGACTAACAACCAGGGGGCCACTTTTCGATCAAGCACTGTGAGGACCAGCATCGGTCAAGACTCCCTGCTGGGGCAAAGACTGGGTGACATGAGCACCAATACCAGCAGGATGGACTCTGCTTTGAGCTGGGCAACCAGTGCCAAACAGAGTGGAGCTCTACCAGGACTAGATGTCAAAAGGCTCCCCAATACAGTGATCCCACAAAGTGACATTAATTTTCCTCCGAGGTCTATTTGCCCACCTAACCAGGTGGCACCTCATTCTAGCCTGCTACCCATAAACCCTGCGATCAGAAGCTCTGCTCCCAGATCCAGTCAGCCTAGAATACCCCCACTACCTGGAGTGACTTGCCTGACCCAGTCCTCCCCCGAACAGCAGGGTTGCCCGACCACATTTGGAGGGCTGAGCCAAAGCTCAGCAACTTATCAGAACAACCGAGCAGGCCGGTTGACCTTTGACTTCCTACCGGAGGATGATAACACGGTACCAGGGTTAAACGCAGACTCTGATTTCATCGACTCCCTGCTTAAATCAGGTTCGAGCAATGATGACTGGATGAAAGACATCAACCTGGAGGAAATACTAGGCGGACATTCGTAAAAAGAACAGACTCAAAGCATGAGAATTATGTTCAAAATGTCTGTATTAGGAGCCTGATGTGAAAGGCCTGTTAAAATATTTTATTATCCTTGTATTTGAGTGGAAAACAAATGTATTATATGTACTAGTATATTGTTGGGTCGTTTCTTCATATCTTCTACTAACATGTTGTAAAGTTTCACGTTCATTGCTTCAGTGTTTTTTTTTTTTTTTTTTTTTTAAATCAACCACACACTACCCCCTATATTCATATCAGTTGTTATTAAAATGCTGTGAGATTTCTGTTAGAGCTTTTGTTACTCCATTAGCAGAGATTAATGTAAAATAAATGCCATAATGGAGCCATCGGTCATGCCATCGACACTTAACAAGCAGGCCGTTTGAAATGATCGATACTTTGCTTAATCTGGCTCTTATAGTTCAAGGTTATACACCTTAAATATTTGGCATTTAAAATACTATTGTGTGAAATGAAACGTTCAGATCTGTTTTGACTATCCATTCTCAAATTACATATCAACGGGTATTGAAAAAGAGCCATTTATGTATAATTTTATTACATACCTAAAAGAGTAAAATCTGTAAAGGGAATAAACATATGCTTAGAATGTTAGATGTTGTTAACTGATAAAGTCAACCTTATTTAGAAAGACACAGCGAGTTTTGAAAGTTCTTATTGGTAATATTGTATTTGTACATCTGTATCTGTTATATGAAAGATATTTTTTCTATTTGTTTTCTATAATGCACTATAATTCTGTCATAAGTGTATATCATATTGTCAACTTAGCCTTTGATAATAAACTACATCAAAGAAGAACATTTACAGAACATTTTGACTATTTATTTCTTATATTTAATGTCAAATGGAAGTGAAGTACTACAAGGCTCTGTCTTAGGTCCTCTGTTGTTATTACCAGATTCAGGAAAATCTGATCATATCAGCCCTGATTCAATCATCTCTATACACTAACAGTTATAAAATACTGCTACTTGTAATGCTCTTAATATTGCAGCTCCGTAGTACCTAAACAATCTTCGGTCACACTTTATATTAGGGGTCCTTAACTATGTACATAAAAAGATAATTACTCACCCTCATTCCAAACCTGTAAGACTGTCGTTCATCTTCAGAACACAAATGAAGATGTGTTTACTGAAATCTAAGCGATTTCTGTCTCTCCAAAGACAGCTACGCAACTACCACTTTGACGCTTCAAAAAGTTAATAAAGAGATCATAAAACAAATCCATATTAAGTGGTTTAGTCCAAATGTTCTGAAGATACACGATCGCTTTATATGCTGAGCAGAATTAATTTAGGCTTTTATTCACATATAAACATTGATAAGCATAAACAGTAGCTATATAAAAATATAATAAACATGTTTAATGCCAGATAGGAATCAAATACTTTGCAAGGCTTTGAATTAAGATCTTGACTTAAATTGATTAAACCCTGTAACTTGAGACATAAGCCTTTTCCATCATGACTTGACACTTGACTTGAGACCAGTCTTGAGACTTGATACTAGCATCCCATATCAGATCCAACTTGAAGGACAAAAACACTATGGAAGCTAGATCATATAAACTATAAACACCAGAAAAGGAACCTGTGTAAACCAGATTTAAATATATTTCTGACAAATCGAAAGATGTTTTACATATTTTTGCCTTTTCACTTTTGTTAAATGTTCATATGTTTAAATGGAAGGCTAAAAGTTCAAATTAAGCCGGATTTAAAAACTATATCAGCCTATGCTTTTAAAGGAGCGTATAAAACGAGAGGTGGGCTGGATATCAGGTGCAAACCCTGGTTCAAACCTCTTCAGAAAAAAGGCACGGTCCCATTCCAGTCAATAACAGCACCCTCCCACTTCGTCCTAATGGTCATCTCTACAGATGGAAACTTTTTCTCTAGGTCTCCCTGAATGTCTTTATTTTCAGCCTCCCAGTGATGAGAGTGTGTATCTGAAATACAAAAAAAAAGCAATACCGGTACATATTAAATGTTTTGATTCACACAACTATATAACAGGCAGGCAGCATCAGTGAGAAAGAGGTATGGGTTTAGCTATTGACTGTACCTATGGTGAGCACTGTTGTGTTGAGCTGAGTCGGTTGGCCGTTGTAGAAGTAAAGCTGGAAAAGATGCTCCATCTTCCAGTCAGAGAGCAACGAGCGGTTTGGGCTGAACAAAACACTGTAAGTGCCGTTGATGTTGCACACCCAGATAGGCAGCCTGGGGGTTTTCAGCATGCTGCCCACCTTAGGAAAAAAGGGATCCACTCAACATGAATGCTTTTAAAATATAATCGATATAGTTATTTATTTAGGTAACACTTTACATTATGGTTCTTTGTTGTACATTTATGTAAGGGAGGATAGCAAAATAAAGTAAACTGTGACATTATACCCGACAATTCTTCATACAGTGGACTACCAGTAAAATTGGTACCAAAAATTATGCAGACATTTTGACCTGACCATGTTTTGCTGAAGTGTTTTTTCTTTAATTCATAATGCGACCATTTTACACCACAGACTGAACAAAATGAAGCATTGCTTGGTAATTGGTTGAGCTAAATTGGTATTATCTAATTGTGTAGTTATATTTACCAGCTGACAGATATTCAACATAATTAATTTGTGAGACAGTCTAACAGAAGGATGGACAAAACCAGTGAAATATCAACTGATTTGATAACTCTGAGGTCTTGTCGTATTTTATTACCATTTTCTAAACTATAGCAAATAAACTGATATAGTGAGAAATGTTGAAGGTGCCTGCATACATTTTGGTTTGACTGTATATTTAGATTGAAGACTTATTTAAAACCTCCAAGTCTGTCCATTTTTCTTTTAAATGAACATTTTTGTTTTTACATTTACTCTTATCAGTGACATTTTTCAAAATAAGGTATTTCAATAACTGATTAATAACCTTTTAACTCATTACCATTAAAGTGACTACTGAACCTAAAAATTGGAGCCTGATAAAAATGCTCATTTGCACATGTAAAGCATGTGTATAGTTTTAAGTCTAGGGTGTTCTTCAATATTAAATGTATTTAATTTATTTTAAATGTTCTAAATTGCAACTTCATTACAAATATTTAAATATAGAATAAAATGTACATTATTATATAGCATTAAGTATATTTTAGTTTACGATAAATGGTTGTCAATACATTTGGCAGTAGATGTATTTAAGTCCTACTTGAGAGTAATTACAATTGTGGATGTCTACTTAAATAGGTCAAAGCTCTCTAAATTTCAGATGCATTTAATAGAAAATTAAACCATAAGACATTTTCATTTAATTGCAATTGCCCAATTAACATTACATTCATCACATTATTTCCACAAGTACTCTTTTTAAACGTATTCTAAAGTCCTTGGAGAACCACTAGGGATCCTTAAATGATCTTTTGTGAACTCAAAATTGTCAGCTTCAATGGATCCATTTTGTACAGTATGTTTCTCAGGGAACTGCCCTTGTTTTTGAAAAGTGCCTAGAAATTCTCCAAAGGGTTTGATCAGTGTGGCTCAAGTATCTTGTCATTTACAGCATTTATTCTTAGGTTACCCAAGTTAACCTACTGCAAAGTTAGAGAAAGTAAGATCAGGTGTCAAAGATGATGGGACAAAAACCCAGACAGTTCTGACAGAGAAGAAATACCGGTACACTTCCATTTTCTGTACATGGGAAAGGTGATAAATCCCCCAAACCCTCTAGAAAACACATAGGATGGGTACTGTACCAGGGGGAGCTGTGCATGCTTGACTTGTTCTCTGTTCCAGAAGAGATACCCAACATGACTGCGAGTCAGAACCCCGTGGAGCGGGTGGGCGAGCGGTTGGTCTTTCTCATCGTTAAGTGACGTACCGTTGAAGACATGAGGGGAAGCACGGCCGGTCAACAGCAGGTTTAATAAAGCCTAATACATACAGAGACAATATGAAGCAATTCAATAGCTACTAAGATTCAACAGAGACAAAAGACAAAAAACAACAACAAAAAAACACCTTACCTGTCGACAAACAAAGTTCCCCAAGCTCAAATGCAAAAGATGAGTGGTGGTACAATCGAAGTCTGCTCGTATCCTACAAATTCAGAGACTATGCTTAATTCATTCACTCTTTTCATGCAATTATGAGGTCAAATCTTGAGGTATTTCTCTGACACTGGAGATGTATGTTATAATGTTTACCTGCAAGTGCAATTATTAATGATATTATTAGTGATAGTATTGATCCTTAAAATATTTCCTAAATAATCTACCAATTCAAAAATTAGGCGTTGGTAAGATATTTTAATGTTTTTTAAGATAAGTATGTGATGCTCACCAAGGTTACATTTATTTGATCAAAAATACAGTAAAAACAACAAAAAAATGATATTGTGTAATATTATTACTGTACTATTCGAATCTGTTTTTCCCCCCCCTGATTTTTTAAAATAACTTTTTTTTCTAACATTTGTAAAAGTATTAAGTATAGGTAAATTGGAGACTCTAAATTGTCCGTAGGTGTGAATGCATGTGTGTGTGAGTCATGTAATAGGGAGGGCTGGGGTAAGACCTGGCGACCTACAATGGAAAAAAAATTATTTCCAAGAAAATTCATGGACAGTCTCTCACGTATGGCAAGAGATGGCCCACAAGTCGGATACGACTGAAATGGTTATCGAATGAATGAACAGTATTTACTGTCACGTTTGATCAGCAAGGCTTTCTTGCTGAATATAAATAATAATTCCTTTCAAGAAAACTTTTGAAAGGTTGTGTATTTCTGAGGACATACCTGTCAATAGTCCTGGAGAAGACAAGGCTGTACAGAAAAAGTATCATTCCATGGCTTCCTTCTTCCTTAAACTACAAACATTCAGGTCAAAGTTCTTAATACAACATAAATGTACATTCGATGCATAATATAAAGCATTAATAAAAAAATAATTTGTAATAAATAATACATTTACCCACACATTGGATGTGCTCACATATAAAAGATCTAACATCTTCTTTCTTTTTAAAGGTGAAAAGCTGCAACTGTGGAATAAAAAAAAAAAAACATTAAACAATTACAACATATGTACAGTGTTGGGGAAAGTTACTTTTAAAAGTAATATTGCATTACGCGCTAAAAAAGTAACTGTATTACTTAGTTTTTACATGACTTTTTCTCACCTGGACTGGACTTGCTTGTTCATTTTTTAATAACCCCCCCAAAAAAGTTATATTTTTGGCTAATATAAAGGCCCTTTTACACCAAAAGTAAAATGACGCAGGAGAAGAAAATTCAACACTCTTACCTCAACATTAAAAAAAGAGAAAGCACAAATGTGAAGTTTACCTAAAGCATTTTTAGCTTAGTATGGTTGAATTGGATCATCAAAGGTCAGCAGCAAAGACATTGCTTAATAAAGTGAGATTAAATACATAAAGTATATTTCTGTTATTAAACATTTAATTATTGCAGGTTTGCTTAATAGTTGCATTTCACTGTTTTTATTTCTTTTGAGCGATACTGAATGTGTTTTTGTGCAAGTGAGAGTAAATGCATGTTCACATTTAGTCTAGAACTACAATCATCATCATGTTCACACACAGCGCTTGTTACTTGAAAAAAGTAATCTGATTGCATAACTCTTATTACCCCCCCCCCCCCCCCCCCCCCAACACATACCCTCTCTGTGAAGCTGTCCAGTTTGTAGTCGAGGTGGGGGGTGAAACAGCGCTCGGACGTGACCAAGGAGACGGTAGCCGTCTGCTCCTCGCCAGCTGTCCACAAGATGTCAGCTAGAGCTGCTGCCAGCGCCCTCCTCTGCTCCTTCTCCCCGACCTCCAGCAGACTGAGAGAGAGAGAGAGAGAGAGAGAGAGAGAGAGAGAGAGAGAGAGAGAGAGAGAGAGAGAGAGAGAGAGAGAGAGAGAGAGAGAGAGAGAGAATCCAAGTTGAAAATCGGAAATCTTCCCCTCTGCTATAATTTTATTCCATACAAAAAGATACAAACTTGACGACAACGACAAACCTCTGCATTGTGCACGCGGAGTTCCCTGGCTGGTTGAAGAGCAGGCGTTTAATAATATGAGCCTGAACCACCATCTGAATAGCACTGGCTCCTCCCTGCCAGAGAAAACACTGTCTGGGCTCACATTTTGTACAGTTCTCTAACAAATTATCTATGTTAGTGAGTAATTTCTACATGATAAATTCATTTAAATGTAATTGCCTTTTCAGAATGCAGGATATTTTCATATTAATGATAAACTACAACAAACATGAATATAATTCATCCAAAAGCCATAGTTAAAACTGTGTGTACACTTACACGTTTTTATAAAGTACGCGTTTTATATATTTAAAGGGATATTTCAGGCAAAATTGTGCATTTTGTTATTTATTTTTCTCATGTCATCACAAACCCGTGGTCAACATCCAATACAGATAATTTTTTTTTTTTTTAAGTGCAAATATTCTGCCTAACTTCTAAATTCATATGGGACCTGAAAGTGACTAAATCACAGCATTTTCAATTTTGGTAGAAAAAGTTCACTTTATAACTTTTTTTTTCCCATTTTTAAAATGAGAATACTTTTAATCAGCAATGATGCATTAAATTGATCGAAAGTGACAATATTTACAATATTACAGCAGATTTATGTTTGTTCTTTTGAACTTTCTCTTCATCAAAGAATCCTGGAAATATGTGTATTCACAAAAAAGCCACAAAAACTTTATTCAACGGTGATACGATTTTTTTTCTTGAGCGGCGAATCAGCATTTTAGAATGATTTCTGAAGGATCATGTGACGTATACCATCAAGGGAATAAATTACATTTAAAATATATGAAAATAGAAAAGCGCTGAAATGTAATATCTCACTGAATTTATTTCATCAAGTAAATGCATACTTGGTGAGCATAAGAGAATTCTTTCGATAACAGGTTTAATATGCAACATTAAGTGTTCAGTTTATGAACCATTTCATAAGGAATGTAAGAGTTTTTTTATTTTATTTTGTAATGGTTTGATGGAGAAAGCTGATCTTGAATCAGTTGCCGGAGGGCTCTTTGTATATTGTGCTTTCGTGTAGTATCAGTGTGTAATCTGCTAATGAATGACACGCGCCACACTTCACTACCTGAGGATAATGGGAAACATATTTACTTAGCGTACCAATGATCTGTGGTTAAGAAAGTGGCAACATTTCAAGCTCATTATACAATAATGAAGTGGCGGGAAGTGATGCAGTTTCAGACAATGGTGTCGGGCTAATCAATCAGAAACATACTGAGTCATGGCTTCACCATGAAAAGAAGTGATCTACTAAAGCTCGTAACACAACCCTTCTTCACTGATATAACTTGCGGTTCTGGCAAAGGGGGAGTAACTTTATTAACGTGATCATACATAAGTGATCATCAACCGTCTCAAGTCTGTGCTTTACTAGAAGTCTTTTTCCATTTCCAGCATTAGCAGGAAAGCACTTCTGAACACTCTTAAGTTCAAACTGCGTTTAATATAAATTTAAACTATAATCTATTTTTATTTCATTGTAAATAACATGCACTTAAGTGTAGGAAGGTTTCATTTCATATTCTTTTAAAGTATATTATTTCCGCAATAAAAATTGTATACTTTTTTTTTTACAATGTTAACCAACAGTACCTGGATTTATTTGAAAGTGGATTTTTTTTAACAAAATATTATAAATATTATGTACAATGTTCTTTTTTAGTACAAAGCCCTGCACATGTCACGATTGGCCATGATTTTACTAAATTAAAAACGAGAGAACAATTTTCTACAATGCGGATATGATTTGAAGAGTGAACTTATTAATGAAATGTGGCCATGAATTAATACGTTGTGGAAATTAATTCTTAATTTGTGTAGACAATATCTCAATATCTATTCCTTTAACCATTTTCATCATAAGAAGTCGTCCAATTTTGTTTCATGATGTTTTTCATTTGGCATTTTTTCTAAGCATACACTTTCACCTCACTAACACATTTAATGAGAAAGGTGCACATTTGTGTCTTCATCAATGAATGAAACATCTGAATGTTTTAAAAACAATATCCTACCAGTTCCCAGTGGTTTATAGCCAAAACTATGACAATAAGCGATGGCTGATAATGACAGAAAAAGTTCAATCTCATACTCACCCTCTCAGTCTCCAGAGCATATGCCGTATCAGAGAAAGGCTCACGAAACTTGAAGAATGATTTCTTCCACTCGTAGCTGAATATATGGAAGGTGTTCCCAAATAAAATACTTCTTAAACTCTGTATGAGTGATAAAGCAAAATGAAATGTCAAAATAATAATCATTTTAAAAATATTTTTTAAAAATATAGTAAATGTAGTTATTTATTTAGGATACAAATCATAATCACATTCATTTATATAGCACATTTAAAAACCGCACATGTTGGCCAAAGTGCTTTGCATAAACAGCTTAGACTAGTCTTACAAGTTAGTCCTTTTTTTTTCTTTAAGACTGTTCATAACTTTAAGTCATTTACACAAATTTGCTGTTGGTGTATTAGCCTAAAACAACATACTCGCCAATAGCCCTATCTAAATAGCCCTATGTTGTTAGAAATTACTGTTTAGGTTTTAGGTTTTTTGTCATTTCCTTGATTTAATTTTTTTTATTCTTTTTTTAATTAAAACTAACATTATAACGTATTATATATTTTTTTACTTTGAGCAATTCTGGAGCTATAATTGACTCTTCTTTGGAGCTTATAAAACAAAACAGCTCCTTGGACAAAATGAAATGTTATATTGTAGTAGTTATAAACAAAGGTTTATTTTAGTTCAGATTAACATTTGAGGGCAGCAATTGTATTCATAATGTCAAAATAAAACCGACGTAATGTTACTTGAAAGCATTATAGCCGACTATTCCTGCCAAACTCCCATGGTTACAGTTAGTAGTGTTACTACAGTAAACTCATGGTGAATGTTGCTGATCTGTGGACACTGAATAGTTCATTCATGGCACAATGTTTCTTCATTGTTTCCACGTCAGCGCTGTTTGATCCGTTAATAACGGAGAAATCCATCCATCCATTCATCTTCTTCCGCTTATCCGGGGCCGGGTCGCGGGGGCAGCAGTCTAAGCAGAGATGCCCAGACTTCCCTCTCCCTGGACACTTCCTCCAGCTCTTCCGGGGGGACACCGAGGCGTTCCCAGGCCAGCCGGGAGACATAGTCTCTCCAGCGTGTCCTAGGTCTTCCCCGGGGTCTCCTCCCAGTGGGACGTGCCCGGAACGCCTCCCCGGGAAGGCGTCCAGGAGGCATCCGAAACAGATGCCCGAGCCACCTCAGCTGACCCCTCTCGATGTGGAGGAGCAGCGGCTCTACTCTGAGCTCCTCCCGAGTGACCGAGCTTCTCACCCTATCTCTAAGGGATCGCCCAGCCACCCTGCGGAGAAAGCTCATTTCGGCCGCCTGTATCCGGGATCTTGTCCTTTCGGTCATGACCCAAAGCTCATGACCATAGGTGAGAGTAGGAACGTAGATTGACCGGTAAATCGAGAGCTTTGCCTTACGGCTCAGCTCTTTCTTCACCACAACAGACCGGTACATCGACCGCATTACTGCAGAAGCTGCACCGATCCGTCTGTCAATCTCCCGTTCCATCCTTCCCTCACTCGTGAACAAAACCCCAAGATACTTAAACTCCTCCACTTGAGGAAGGATCTCTCCACCAACCTGAAGTGAGCAAGCCGCCCTTTTCCGACTGAGGACCATGGCCTCGGATTTGGAGGCGCTGATTCTCATCCCAGCCGCTTCACACTCGGCTGCAAACCGTCCCAGTGCATGCTGAAGGTCCTGGTGTGAGGGGGCCAACACGACAACATCATCCGCAAAGAGCAGAGACGAAATCGCGTGGTCCCCAAACCTGACACCCTCCGGCCCCTGGCTGCGCCTAGAAATTCTGTCCATAAAAATTATGAACAGAACCGGCGACAAAGGGCAGCCCTGCCGGAGTCCAACATGCACCGGGAAGAAGTCTGACTTACTACCGGCAATGCGAACCAAGCTCCTGCTTCGGTCATACAGGGACCGGACAGCCCTTAGCAAAGGACCCGGGACCCCATACTCCCGGAGCACCCTCCACAGGCCGCCTCGGGGGACACAGTCGAATGCCTTCTCCAAATCCACAAAGCACATGTGGACTGGTTGGGCAAACTCCCATGAACCCTCCAGCACCCTGTAGAGGGTATAGAGCTGGTCCAGTGTTCCACGGCCTGGACGAAAACCGCACTGTTCCTCCTGAATCCGAGGTTCCACTATCGGCCGTATTCTCCTCTCCAGTACCCTGGCATAGACTTTCCCAGGGAGGCTGAGAAGTGTGATCCCCCTGTAGTTGGAACACACCCTCCGGTCCCCCTTCTTAAAAAGAGGGACCACCACCCCGGTCTGCCATCCCAGAGGCACTGTCCCCGACCGCCACGCGATGCTGCAGAGGCGTGTCAGCCAAGACAGCCCCACAACATCCAGAGACTTGAGGTACTCAGGGCGGATCTCATCCACCCCCGGTGCCTTGCCACCGAGGAGTTTCTTGACTACCTCGGTGACCTCAGCTACGGTGATGGACGAGTCCACCTCTGAGCCCTCAGCCTCTGCTTCCTCAATAGAAGACGTGACGGCGGGATTGAGGAGATCCTCGAAGTATTCCTTCCACCGTCCGACGACATCCCCAGTTGAGGTCAACAGCTGCCCACCTCCACTGTAAACAGCGTTGGTAGGGCACTGTTTCCCTCTCCTGAGGCGCCGGACAGTTTGCCAGAATCTCTTCGAGGCCAGCCGATAGTCCTTCTCCATGGCCTCACCGAACTCCTCCCAGGCCCGAGTTTTTGCCTCCACAACCACCCGGGCTGCAGTCCGCTTGGCCTGCCGGTACCTGTCAGCTGCCTCAGGAGTCCCACAAGCCAACCAGGCCCGATAGGACTCCTTCTTCAGCTTGACGGCATCCTTTACTTCCGGTGTCCACCACCGGGTTCGGGGATTGCCGCCTCGACAGGCACCGGAGACCTTGCGGCCACAGCTCCGAGCCGCCGCTTCGACAATGGAGGCGGAGAACATGGTCCACTCAGACTCAATATCTCCAGCCTCCCTCGGGATCCGGTCGTGGCTCTGCCGGAGGTGGGAGTTGAAGATCTCTCTGACAGGAGATTCGGCCAAACGTTCCCAGCAAACCCTTACAGTACGCTTGGGTCTGCCGTGTCTGTCCAGCTTCCTCCCCCGCCATCGGATCCAACTCACCACCAGGTGGTGATCAGTTGACAGCTCCGCCCCTCTCTTCACCCGAGTGTCCAAGACATACGGCCGCAGGTCAGATGAAACGACCACAAAGTCGATCATCGACCTACGACCTAGGGTGTCCTGGTGCCACGTGCACTGATGGACACCCTTATGCTTGAACATGGTGTTCGTTATGGACAAACTGTAACTAGCACAGAAGTCCAATAACTGAACACCGCTCGGGTTCAGGTCGGGGGGGCCGTTCCTCCCAATCACGCCCCTCCAGGTGTCACTGTCGCTGCCCACGTGAGCGTTGAAGTCCCCCAGTAGAACGACGGAGTCCCCAGTCGGAGCACTTTCCAGCACTCCTCCCAGAGACCCCAAGAAGGCCGGGTACTCTGCACTGCCGTTCGGCCCGTAGGCACACACGACAGTGAGAGACCTATCCCCGACCCGTAGGCGCAGGGAAACGACCCTCTCGTTCACCGGGGTAAACTCCAGCACATGGCGGCTGAGCTGGGGGGCTATAAGCAAACCCACACCAGCCCGTCGCCTCTCACCATGGGCAACTCCAGAGTGGTGAAGAGTCCATCCTCTCTCAAGGAGTGTGGTTCCAGAGCCCAAGCCATGCGTAGAGGTGATCCCGACTATCTCTAGTCGGAACCTCTCAACCTCACGCACGATCTCAGGCTCCTTCCCCGCCAGCGAGGTGATGTTCCACGTCCCTAAGGCTAGTTTCCGTGTCCAGGGATCGGGTCGTCGAGGCCCCCGCCTTCGACTGCCGCCCGATCCTCTCTGCACCGGCCCCTTACGGCTCTTCCAGCAGGTGGTGAGCCCACGGGAAGGCGGTCCCACGTCGCTCCTTCGGGCTGAGCCCGGCCGGACCCCGTGGGGAGAGGCCCGGCCACCAGGCGCTCGCATACGAGCCCCAACCCCGGGCCTGGCTCCAGGGTGGGGCCCCGGCTGCGCCATACCGGGCGACGTCACAGTCCTTGTATTGTTGTGCATCATAAGGGGTTTTTGAACCGCTCTTAGTCTGACCCGTCGCCTAGGACCTGTTTGCCTTGGGAGACCCTACCAGGGGCATATAGCCCCAGACAACATAGCTCCTAGGGTCATTCGGGTACTCAAACCCCTCCACCACATTAAGGTGGCAGTTCAAGGAGGAGTGAAGTGATGTTAATGGAGAAATGTGATGTTATTACTTCAGTGGCAAATTCAAATGCTTCCTTTACTGGATCTCTTATTAGCGCTGTGTAGTAACGGTGTCGCTTGATCAAGATCGGCTCGCGCTGCATTGGTCCAAACTGATAAACGGTCCGTCAACCACACAATAACGAGCAGTTTCGTTCCGCTTGCATTACGTTTGCCATTTGATGTTGGGCAATGTTGTGGTGTCTCCGGGGGATTATGAGGGCGCTTACCACGCGCAACGCGCCTACATTCGAAATAATGAAATTTTGGTCGGCAGGAAAAATGGCCCCGCCCCCCCCCCCCCCCCCCTCCCTCAAAAAAAAAACTCTCCGGTTCTACACGATTCACGTAAATGACCCAATTGACCAAGAAAAGCGACAAGTTTGCAGGTATGAGGTGAAAAAAAGAGTGGAGGATGAAGGATGAATAGGCAACATGTATCAGTCACCGACAGCTGTTGCGGGGTAACCAAGCGGCAGCAAGGAGGTCAGGAGGGAGTATTGGGTTCAGTAGGAGCAGGAGCAGGAGCAGGTCATGTGGCTGAGGAGGGAAGGTGGCAAAATGTTCTGCAACATCTGTAGAAAATGAGTAACGAATTTGTCCGAGGGTGCACGTCACGACTATGCAGAAATCAGCTTTGAATGATCACAAATGTAGCCATAGCCACACCGGGTGGTCCACCAGAGTGTGGCAATGGTCAAAATGTCGAAAAATCACAGGCTGCTGCTGGTACGAGGCGTTAAAAACACGGTTTAAGGTTGTGTTGCATATGCCAAATACAAACACCCCAAGCCGCCTATATCCTAACCTAATACACCTCTTACTTAGCCTGG